GCCGTGCTGTCAGCCCGCGTCAGGGAGGGTCTTCTCGCCCACCCTCTGCTTCACTGGGCTGGATGTTCTTCTCCAGGGGCCTCCCCTCCTGATAACATGTCCGAATGGCTGAGACAGAATCACACCAATCTTGCGTCAGCGTGTTCTTCGGAATCAGGTTTTCTTGTCCTTTTGTCAGACTGTGGGACTGTGTCCTTCAGCAGCACTGCAGTTCAGAGGCCCCTTCGTTTTCCTTTGTCCAGCTTTCACATGCATGTGAGAAAATTGAAAATACAGCAACTTGGCCCAAGTCCACCTTAGTTCTCAAAGTGGTGTCTTCGCTCTTCAGCATCGTGAAGAGGTCGTTCAAAGCTGATTCGCCCATTGCAATACTTGTTAATAGGAGGTCCAAGTAAAATGAAGTCTTTTACATTTTCAGTCTTTTTTCTTTTATCATGATGTAGTTTTCTTGGTCCAAGGGGGAGGATGCTTCTTTTTTCATTATGTTGAGGTGCTCTCCTTACTGAAGGCTCTAGTATTTCACCTTCATCAGCAAGGGTTTCAAGCTTGCTGTATATTGCAAACAGTGCTGTGTCATCTGCAGGTGTTAAGCTTTCTTTCAGTTCTTATAGTCCAACGTCTTAAATCATTTGCCCGGCATACATGTTGAATAGATATGGTGAAAGGGTATAATGCTGACACACATCTCTCCTGATTTTTAAACCATGCAGTCTCCCCTTGTTCTGTTTCAACTGCTGCTTCTTAGTCCATGTACAGATTCTGCGTGAGCACAATAAAAGGTTATACCGAATCTCATTCTTTTCAGGGTTATCTATAATTTGTTATGATCCCTACTTCGAATGCCTTTATATAGTCAGTGAAACACGGGGGAGAAAAAATCTTTGTGATACTCTACTTTCAGCTAAGATCTGTCTGACATCTGAATAGCGTAGCTCTATTAGAAGAGCAGTATTTATGTGAGCTCCATTTGTGACTGTAATATTGTTTTGTTTTGATCAGACATTATGGTGTTCTGGTTAAAAACTATCTATTTCCACTGAAAAAATGTCAATACATCTGCAAAATGTGTTTTACATCCAAATTTGCATTTTTATGATTTTTCATTTTCAAATATTGCCATCTGGGTTGATTATGGCTGTTCAAGTTCTTTATGAAAGAGTTTGGCACATAATTAACTGAAGTGAAGTGGCAAAAGGTAGATCTAATGGGCTAGTAGACAGGAAGGCGGGTTTGAAATCTTTATCATGGGCTCTGAGCAGGGCTGTGAATGTGCCTTGTGATTTGTTATTCTGTTTTTACTGCTTTGGAGGATAGAGAACTTTTATTTACACATTTCATATTTTGGCAGCTTCAAACAGGACAGGAATTTTAAAGTGTGTTTTGAAATAGCATGATACAAATACTACATAAACAATACAGATGTGTGTGAATTACCCCAGCTTCAAGGCCACAGCCATTTCTTGGAGAAGATCTCTGTGCCTTTGTTTATTGTTATTTAAAATAATTCCAATCCTAACTGATACAGCAATAATTACTAAATCTGATCTAGTCCTAGATTGAAAACAGTGTTTATAATATAGCAGGCATACTTGGGAATAGCATAAACACCTTAAAGAAAACAAGGTTCTCATTTTAAAATTAAAAAAAATATTCTTCATGTCTCATTTTCTTTCCCCCTGTAAAAGCTGGTCAGTCTTTGAATTAGCACATTTACCTTTGGAAGGACACAGTTACTGGGTGGAGAGTTCTGTAGTAAACAGAATCAGCGTTTACAAAGGCTGCACTTAAAATTTCAGTAGGATCTTGGTGGCATGTCTGTGTTATGAGTGTTGAATATTTTGGTATAACTTGCACTTTCAGAAAGTTCTTTTAGCAGGTGATATTGAATTGCATCCTGATACAACAGGAATTTAGAAAAAGTTTTATAGTTTGTTTTAAAATACCTTATTTAGTTCTTAAATGACAATATTGACTTCTGTAGGTTTTGCACGCACTAATGGTAATGTTTGCAGCATATTTCTGCTCTTTTGGCAGGTGCTTGATAGATCTTAGAAACTTTACACATTCACGCTGTTGAGAGAGTCCTTTGCAGTTGTTTCTAGGTGCCCACAGCGTGTACATGCACCTCAGTCATCAGTGTTGATACTCTGGCCGGTCTTACTGTGTCTGTGCATTATTTCCTTTTGTTGCTCTTTCCCCAAATGATTTTCAAGGAAAGCCACGCACAGGAGATCATCTACCTCCACATGCAAGCCGACGTTTTCATGTCTACCTGTAAAAGCGAATGCAGACTGTGTGTGTCCCCCAGGAGTACCAGCTAGCCTTGCTGTGGAGAGGAAGTGGGAGGGGATGTGAAACTGTCTTGAGCCTTGCATTTCTTTGTTGTGAATTTGCATTTAGAAAGATTGGGAGTTTATACAACTCCAGCGTTTTATTATTCCAGTGACTCCCCTAGGACTTGAAGTGTTGATTTAGTAAATAGCAGGCAAGAAGGAAGCATTAGGACCTCAGCAAGTATTATGTATGAAGTTACTCGACAGTCCTCATTTCAGGGTGAGCTGTAATCTGCTTTGTCATCTCTTCATGCCCTCTCACCTCAAAGAAAAAGACAAAGTTCATAGTTCTTTATTTGAAAAAAAAAGCTAAGAGACACAGGCAGCACGTGGCACTTAAGTGACATTTCATAAGTCTGAACATAAGTATGTGTTTAGGGAGCAAAAGAGAAAATATGCTTATGGAAATGAGGAAGAGAAGGTGGGAAACATCGAGGCCCCAGTGCTTCATCAGGTGCGGTTGCAAGGGCTTCCAAGGCCCCTTTCACACTCTCTCTCAGGCACCCTCCTCGCTGGGTCCTGATTTTCTTATTTCTCTATTTTCTGAGCCTTAACTCCCAGTTGATTTCTCTGCGCTTCCTCTCATGGCCTTTATTAACTGTGTACATACTTGGCATTTCTTAAACTGAAGGAACTAAAGAACAAATTCAAGCCACAAGTTGTAGTGCTTAAAGATGCTATGGGCAGAACATTGAAAGAACTGGAAACATTAAAAGAAGATGGAAGGAGTATACAGAGTCACTGTGCCAAAAATAATTGGCTGACACAGAAGAATTTTAAGAAACAACATATCATCAAGTGGCAGGGTTGGTGAAGGAGGAAGTTCAGGCTACTCTGAAGGACTTGGCAAAAAATGAAGCCCCAGGAATTGATGGAATACCATTTGATGTATTTCAACAAACAGATGCTGCCCTAGACATGTTCATCCACTTGCGCCAAGAAATCTGGAGGGCAGCTACCTGGCCAATTGACTGGAAGAGATCTATATTTATTCCCATTCTAAAAAAGGTGACCTGACAGAGTGTGCAAATTGTGGAACAGTATCACTAATATCACACATTAGCAAAATCCTGTGAAAGATTATCCAGAAACAACTGAAATAGTACACTGGCAGAGAACTACCACCTATATAAACTAGATTTAAAAGAAATCGTGGCACTAGAGGCATTATTGCCAATGTCAAATGGATCTTGGCAGAAAGGAAAGAATACCAGAGGAATATCTTATCTGTGTTTCATTGACTACGCAAAGACATTTGACTGTGTGGATCACAACAAATTGTGGCTAATCTTGAGGAGAATGAGAATCCCAGAACACTTGTTTGTGCTTATGCAAAACCTGTACTTGGACCAGGATGCAGTTCTCAGAATAGAGCAAGGAAGCACTATGGTTCAAAATTAGAAAAAGAGTGCATCAGGGATGTATTTTGTCTCCATACCTTTTCAATCTACATGCAGAATAGATCATTTGGGAAGCAGGGCTTTATGAGGAGGAATGTGGCATGAGGATTGGAGGAAGACTCATTAACAATCTACGTTATGCAGATGACACAACCTTGCTTGCTGAAACTGAGGCAGACCTGAAGCGCTTGCTGCAGAAGGTCAAGGACTGTAGTCTTCAATATAGATTGAAGCTCAACATCAAGAAGACAAAAATTCTCACCACTGGCCCACTTGGCAGCATCATGCATGATAGATGGTGAAGAGATGGAAATTGTTAACAGCTTTAGTTTGCTTGGCTCCACAATCAACACTCTTGGTACCAGCAGTTAAGAAATTAAAAGACGAATTACATTGGGAAAATCTGCTGTCAGGGACCTCTCCGGAGTACTGAAAAACAGTGATGTCAGTCCGGAGACTAAGGTGTCCCTATTCAGGCCTTGATCTTCACAATACTTGCTGTGCATCAGAGAGCTGGATAAAGACTAAGGATGACAGAAGAATTGACGCCTTTGAATTGTTGTACTAGATAAGAGTCTTGAACATACCACAGACTGCCAAGAAAATAATTGAGTCTGTCTTGGAGAGAGCGAAACCAAGTTTCTCCTTGGAGGCTAGGCTATCTGTCTCACATACTTTGGGTATGTGACCAGGAGAGACTGGTCCTTGGAGAAGGACATCATGCTTAGGAGGGTAGGGGGACAGTGAAGCAGAGGAATACACCAGATGAGATGGATTGATACAGTAACTGGTACAATGGGGTAGGTGTGTCAGAATTAGTGAGACTGGCTTAGGACAGGGCAGGGTTCAGAGCACCTGTACGTAGGGTCGCTGTGGGTTTCAGGCGACTCAAAGGCACATAACAACAAACAACAACATGTCAAAGAAGACACCCTCTGAGGCTAGTTTATTATTTAGGGACCGTGAGATGAGAATCTAAAAATTAAATGTTTAGGTCTAATTTTGTATATGTTCCTTGCTTTCATATGCACTTTAAAAGTGTTTTGTTTAAATTTATTGGAGTGTTTAATGTGAATTAGTTTGAACCTTTTTATTCTCTGTGGATTAATTATACGGTGTATTAAAACATTAGTCTTAATATTGAATTTTAGATTTGTTTTAGGTGTGAAAGGGATGATGTGTAATAACTGTTTTCTTTTTTTTTCCTGTTCTCTTTTGCTGCCTATTTATTGGGTGAAATTGATGCTGTTCAAATTCATCTCTGAAGTTCACACGGTTCCTCTGCAGCTCGCCTTTGGAGGTAAGGGCTGCATCACACGCTTTCCTACTACTGATTGAATTCCTGACTGAAAGTCGTTATGAGTATCTTTTGTTAGAAATTTATTTTATATTTTGAGAGTGTTCTTTTTTTAGAGAGACACACATATTTTCAGTAATAGTGATGAGTAAATGTAGACCTTTTTTGATGAAAATTTCTACACACTATAGCTAGTTGGGTTTTATAAGAAATATTTTTTTTTATACTGACGTGTTTTATTCATCTTTATGCCCCATATTAGCCTATTAGTGTGTCACACTTTTAAAGGAACTTCTATAACTGGTCATTGCCTCTTATACTTTTAAATTTTTTCAATAGTTAGAGTAAAATTGGACCTTTCATTTTAACAGCCTTGTGTGGCTCTAGGACTCCCATAGCAGTTGCCACACAGTGGTCATATTATCTGTTGACCACACTATAAAGGGAGCCAGAGGAATGGCAGATGAGGACGGGCCTCTAGGAAGTCTGCTGGTCGGAGAGCCTGTTCTGGCATCCATGCGCTTTGAGGGAGAGCAGAGGACAGAACAGGACCGAGCTGCCTGGACAGTGTGGACACAGCTCTCAGAGTTCACTAATGTTCTTGTTTCAACCTTACAACGATTCTATAGTACAGGACAGTGAACCCAGCAGAACAATTATGAGCAAAAGAAAACACCCTTGATGTGCAGAGAGTGAGGCACCCTTGAGAGCCATGGTTTGAAACAGCCACCGCTGAAAACTGGACCCAGTGCCTTCAGGTTGATGCTAACACACAGCAGTGGTGATCTACAGAGTCACTCTGTAGGAATAAGCGACAGCCCAGAGAACCTCGTTTTTTATGATGGTTCAGGAGTTTGATTGAGGTATTGTGATGGGTTGAATAGTGCCCCCCAAATTTCATTGACGCTCGGAGTGTGAACTTTTTTGGAAATAAGGTCTTTGCAAGTGGTTGTGTCTGCAGCTGGCAGCAATAAAAACAACTGCACTTAAAAGATCTGGAGAGAAAATTGTCTTGGATTTAGGATGGGTCCTAAGTATACTGACGAGTCTTTAGAAGAGAAATATACAGAGGAGACATACAGAAAGATACAGAGGTGGGTTTGATAGATGAAATACAAAGATGGGGGAAGAGATTGGAGGATGCTGCCTCAAGCCAAGGAGTGCCAGGACCCACTGGTAGCTGAAAGAAACTTGGAAAGATTTTTACCTGGAGCCTTCAGAGGAAACAGGCCCTACTGATGCCTGATCTGATATGAAAGACTAAATTTTACTCTTTTAATCCTCTGATAACTTGGTACTGTAGCCCTAGGAAACAAATGGAGATTTACATCAGGACTGTGTCTGATTTGATGTGGAAACAGGGTCCAACCTTGAAAGAGAACAGGCTGGCAGGTACTTGGATGAAGAGATGCTGTTGATTGTGTTTGAGGCTGTACTCACATTATGGCAGGTGTGGAGCAGAAGGCAGTGTTAGGCTGGATTGGATTCCCTGTGAGAGTCCTGAGGCTGGAACCTGAGGACTCTGACTGAGGAAGGTAGCAGTGGTCTGTTTGCAGAAGGTGCATCTAGTAGAACTCACCGATGGGTTTGAGTGTAAGCTCCATGGAGGAGGGCCCTGCTTGCTTCCTTCCCCGTGTCTCGTATTACTTTAATAACTAATACATAAAAATGAGGGGAAGTTGTAGAATGAATGGATGAACAAGGGGAGGTGAGAAAGTGGAGGTGGCTTTTACCCATAATTTGGCAGGACTAAACTAAAAGCAGACAAAACATGATGTTTACGTATTAATGTACTTAACAGTCTGTCTTCCTGGAGTAAAGTGGGGGAGGTCTCACAATCATCAGAAGAGAATTCACGACCAGAATTCATCTTTTGGAATCCAGGGTTTCTGTGCTGAGAACCTCCTAGACCCAGGAGACAGAGAGGAAGGTGTAAAATTGGATACAGCATGAGACAGTGAGAAGTGCAGCAGAAGAACAGTGGACACAGAACTGGGACACTGGAGCATCAGGGCACAGTGGCTTCCCGGCTCACAAGGCAACGTGGATGCAGTGTGTGTGCCAACTCCCAAAGAGAAAGTGGTGTGCCTCTGGGTCTGAGGCTTCTTGGCAGAGTGGGATGCCTCTGAGTACTTACTGGCAAAGGTTAAACAGCTTTGTAACCCTTGCTGTAGAGGGGACCAAGATGCTGAGGACAGAGAAAGGAAACCTGCCCTCCGGGGCTGAGAGGAGCTGAGAGAGCCAAAGAAGGATGAGGTCATCAACATGGTTCCATCTTAGAAAATCAAATACAGTGAAGTGTGTGTAGGGAGAGAGAGGACATGAGACTTGTCTAAAGGAAGTGCCTCACCTCCTTGCAGAGACTGGCAAGTCCCTCCTCTGCATTACATCTCAGGAGAGTGTCTTCTCCTGAGTCACTGAGCTGTGGAAGGAGATGAATTCAAGGGTGACAGGTAGGGCATGGAACTGGTTCAAGTTTTAAGAGCCAAAGAGAGAGCAAACTACATGTGGAATCCAGATCAGGGAAAGAGCAAAAAAGCAAGCACGCTGCTGCTTTCTGTATATTTGATTCAGGCTACGCTTCCAGTGATCAAGGGGGTGATTGGATTACATCAAACCTCACAGATCTGCCCTTAATCTTGTTCCCAAGTTGTAGCCCAGTGACCCTGATCCCAGACTGTGCCCTGGGCCTTCCTTAGTAAGTAATTTACCTAGGAGTATGATATGTGCTCTCTGGCCATTCTAATGATTTCCCCATCCCAGCAGAGGAGAGAGCACCACGGGGGGACAGCTGGTGTCAGACTTGGTAAAGAAGTTGCTGAGAGAAGATAAACTTTCTCCAGAAACTGCCTCCCCCCATGAAGTTAGATGACAGCATACCATTTTTCACACGTGCTAAATATAGTCTGCTGTTGTGCTTAAATATCGGGGGTATATGTGTGTGAGCTTTAATCTTTGGTAGAAAAAGACAGAACCATCATGAGTCAAGTTCATTGTCACCTCCTTCCTTAGTGACCAGGAGTTGTCTTTTACTTTGGCTAACTGGATCTATTTGTTGTCTTTCTCAGCTCTATGAATATGGGAGGAAGAAACAAAATCAGAATTAGAGGTGACAAAAGTGCTTCTTTAGCAGCTTTCAGTTAAATGTTCTCTAGCCTGAAATTTCATGCTAACCACAGGTTGCTTGCTTAAGTGGGTGTGGGTGCCCCCAAGACTCCCCCAGATGCACTGGGCCATGAGCAGAAGCTAAGCCAAGGCGTTGAACGTTGAGACACCTCATCAGACTCTTAGCTTCTCATTTAGCCATTGAGCTTATATTTTAGCCAAAGAAGGAACTTTAAATTATGGTCCATAGCCAAACACCTTCCCTAATTTTGAATAAAAGAACAGTAATTCTGGTAGAGATCATAAAACAAATGAGACTTGCATCTGAAAATGAAGGAGACACTACATTTCCTTCTGTCCACCAGACCTACCATGAATGGACCCGGTCCCTTTGCCATAAGTCCCACATAGTTAACTGCCACATGAATCTAATGAAATTGTCAGGTTATAGTAATTACAGCAGTAATTTGATATGTTGTCATCTGAATGGAGCCATGTGTGGAGAGGCAGTTACTCTCTGTGGGGCTGACCCTTTTACATTCCTGTAAGCTCAAGACTAATAGAGCTCATTAAGCTTTATGGAAAAAGAGCTTTTATCGCCTCGCGTGGCCCTGTACCTTCATGGAGCTCCTCTGCTGTTGATGTGGACGCCGCAGCAGCTTGCATCCGGCTGCCCCTCACCAGCGTTTTTATTGACATTTCTAAGGCTGAGTTACATTTTGTGTGGCACCACTTGCAGATGTCTTTAATTAAACGTAGGTAAATAAAAGGGATTCTATATCAGAGGCCCAAAGATTCCTGGCATTTTCTTCAGAAGAATTTGGACCTGGCCTGCCAGTCCCGTCGGTGCAGTCTCCCCGACGTTCTGGAGGTGGAGGGGACAAGAGTGGCTTTCGAGGGGGAAGCTGGCCTCGGGAGAAGCTGGCCATGGGCGCGTGCAGGACATGCAGGCAAGACACGCATGTTTCCCCTTCCAATGCTGGTGATTTTCCATAGGCTTCTGGCCTTTAGTCCTGGGAATGGCTGGCTGTCCTACATCAGTTAAGTCAGTCAGCATCTTTTATATGAATGGTAATCGTAATGCCATATCGAGAGCCCAGCTCCATAGTGCAGACACTTCTTAGTCTGTTCCATATCGCTTTAACTCACAGCCTCATAAGGTTTTCAATTTTCTCAGAAGGAAGCACCCTTGGAGAGAGATCTAGAGACAAACTGACAGAGGAGCTCTGGTGGCCTTCTCTCTGACGAGGTGGTGGGAAGGCTCCTCCTTCGGGATTTACAGCCTCAGAAAGCGAGTGGGGGCTCAGCCAGGAGCCAGTTCTAGCGCCACATTAATGATTGAGTGAGTCGTGTATGACAGACAGCATTAGTAGGGCGGGAAGGTGGCGTTGAAATGACAGTGCTGGGACATTCTCACATCGTGAGTGACAGTATTTAATGTTATTGAAAGGAAGCAGTTACAAGTTAGATACGTTTAGTAAACGCCGCAGCGTAACTTCTCAAGCCGGGCACTGTGGGGACAGGTGGCTTTGTGCTTAGACCCAGTCGGTCAGCATCCTTGCACTCTGTCCATTACATGCCAGTAGTCCCTCCCCTCCATCCAGGCTTGGAGTAGCAACAACAGAAAATGTTTCTGCACATTGTGAAATCTCTCCTGGGAGGAAAACTCATTTTCCTATTGAAAATGACTATGCTAGAACACCTTTTTTAAAAACAGAAAGAACAAAGAGGCATATGTAGTAATAATAAAGATAAAATAATAGAGTGGCAAGTTTGTGGATTTTTTTTTATTCTAAGCAAGAAGGAAATGAGAAGGAAGACTAAGTGGGACCAAATAAAAAGAAGAAAATCCAGCCATAGTGATGATTACATTGTTTCTACTCTAAACCACAACACTC